GAAAGACTGATAGAGGCTTTGGCTGGGATGTGGGCTCTGGATTGGGTGGTTTGCATTTGAAAGGTGTGCTCTGGGCAAGTCATTTTCTATCTCCAGGGATTGGCTAATCCTAGGGCGAGGGGAGGGAAGGGAAGGTCCTCTAGGCTCAGGAAGGCCCCAGAGGTCAAAGCATCTAACTGAGAAGGTAAAAGGCATAGTTAACACGCCTGCCCTCCAGGAGTTTACTGCCTAGGGGGTCGGGGGTGGGGGGTGCAGTCCAGACTTGCTGTGGGAGTCCAGGTAAGGGCAATCACAGAGAACCAGCAAATAGGGTGCAGGTGGCAGGGGTGGCTGGGTCCAGTGCTCCTCAGGAGAGAGTCTGTGGGATCTGGAGACTGACTGAGATCAGGTATGGAATGAGGGAGAAGAGGGCGTTGGGGATGCCTTGTCTCCTCAGTGACACCTGTGCATCACAGTGCTGTTTGCTGAGATGGCCAAGGCCAGGGGTGGAGCAGGTTCCGCAGGAGGGGGAAGGCCAGGAGTTCAGTTGGCGATGTGTGGGTGTCAGTGTCCGGTGGGAAACTCCCAGCCGAGACTCTGAAGAGGCTACTGTGGAGGGAGGCCCAGAGGTCAGGAGAGTGGGTGGAAACATGAGGGCATCAGCAAATCCGCTGGGGCCGGAACTGAAGCCATGGGCACTGGTGAGGCGTCTAGGAGGAAAGGAGAGAGAATGGCCCAGGACACAGCCCAAAAGACTCTGATGGATAGACGATACAGGGACCTTCCGATGTTCGGAACTCATGTCACATGAATGGAGTGCCCAGTCAAGTGTATTTTATCTTTTTTTTTTTTTTTTCTGAGACAGGGTCTCACTCTGTCACCCAGGCAGGAGTGCAGTGGTGCAATCTCGGCTCACTGCAATCTCCACCTCACCGGTTCAAGTGATCTTCCTGCCTCAGCCTCCAGTGTAGCTGGGATTACAGGTGCACCATCATGCCTGGCTAATTATTGTATTTTTAGTACAGATGGGGTTTTGCTGTATTGGCCAGGCTGTTGTTGGACTCCTGGCCTCAAGTAATCTGCCTGCCTCGGCCTCCCAAAGTGCTGGGATTACAGGCGTGAACCACCGCACCTGGCCTATTTTATCCTTTTTTATGAGAAAGTTTCACAACCAGTTCATTCTTTTCCTATTTCTCCTGAATTATTATAAAAGTAGACTTATACCTTAATAGAGACTTTTTAAGTTAAAAAATTAAATCATGTTAAAATACTAGAAGAAAACACAATAATTTTCTAAAAAATATTTAAACTTCAGTGGCAGAATGCCTTTCTAAACAAGACATTAAACCCCAAAGCATTTCTTTAAGTGAAAGTTTAATTTTCATACAAGGAAAATGAATGATAAAGTCAAATTGCCTGAAGGAGAATTATTTTCAGCATATCTGACAAATGAGCCAGTGTCCATCAATATAATAGATGAAGGTTTTCAAGAATCATCTAGAAACTAGAACACTTCAGTAGAGAAATGGGCAAAGGATACTCACAGAATGAGGCAAGAAGATGGATAATTAACATCCGAAAAGACACACAGTTTCTTCCGAATTAAGAAATGCAAATGAAAGCTGAGATGCCCTTTGTGACCTGTTAGAGTGACAGTTTCCGGTGTAGGGAAAGCAGTCCCACTAAAGTTGGTGATGGGAGAGTATCAAGCTAAAATAACCAAAAGAGTCAGAATCAGGTTTAGAGTTTCTCCAAGCACAAAGTTGAGGACAGGTCACCAGTAATCAGAGATCCAGAGAATGAAAGCCCATGTTCCAAAGTATAGAAGTTTAAGACTGTTCATCTAGACAAAGCTTTGGGAAGTTTAGCAGAATTTCAGTATCCTTCTATGGAAGGCTGCATGCACATTACAAGGATCTGACTTGCTAAGGGCTCCTTTTCTCTCTGGACAGGTATATTTATCATTCCACACTGCAGATGCAACTGTCATGGGGTCCTGGGTGCCATCTGCTCTGAATTAGGTATGGGACAATAAAGAGGCAGTTAATCTGTAACAAAGTCTAGTGATTGGAAGCGGGAGTTCTGGTGTCCGGTCTCCCGGTCATTCACAGAGCAGGAACAATGAGGTTTTGTTTCTGAGATGGTCTCGCTCTGTCGCCCAGGCTGGAGTGCAGTGGTGCAATCTCGACTCACTGCAACCTCCGGAGGAGGGTTACTCCCTAAGAAGCAGAACTGCAAACAGGTTATGTACGTCAGGTGCCAGGGCTTAACTTCCTCCTTGGCCTAATAAATTTAGAGCATTCTGAAATTTTATTTTATAAGAGTAACCATTACAAAAATTCGGAAATTGCAAAAGATGTTAGAAAAAAAACCCCAGGGTCCTCCGAGGGACTTGGCTAAGTATGGATGAGACTTGTGCGTGAACAGATGAATTTTCTTTTTTTCTTTTTTTTTTTTTTTTGGGACAGAGTCTCACCCTGTCACCTAGGCTGGAGTGCAGTGGCACGATCTCGGCTCACTGCAACCTCCACCTCCTGGGTTCAAGCAATTCTCCTGCCTCAGCCCAAGTAGCTGGAACTACAGGCGCACACCACCATGCCCGGCTAATTTTTGTATTTTTAATAGAGACATGGTTTCACTACATTGGCCAGGATGGTCTCAATCTCCTGACCTTATGATCCACCCACCTCAGCCTTCCCACTGGGATTACAGGCATGAGCCACTACACCCAGCCACAGATGATCTTTCTTTCAAGTCTTAAAATTGTGATAAAATACACATAACATTGACCATCTTAACTATATTTAAATGTATGGTTCAGTGGCATTGAGCACATTCACATTGCTGTGCGACCATCACCACCCTCCATCTCAGAACTCTTCTCATGGCCAGACTGAACCTCCATCCCCACTGAACACTAGCTCCCCATTCCCCCTCCCCTAGCCCTGGTGACCACTGTTCTACTTAGTCTCTGAATGCTCTAGGGACCTCCTGTGAGTGGCAGCATACAGCATTTGTCCTTTGGGGCTGGCTTGTTTCACTAAGTGTAATGTCCATAAGGTTCATTACCGTTTTTGTGTGTAAGCAGGTGAGTTTTTTAGTGAAAAAGCAAGGGCATATAAGTGTATGTTCTTTTGCCAAAGAAACAGGTAAAAAACCAGTGCATAAAATACTTCTAGTCAGATCTGCAAAAATCTTGGCCGGGCACAGTGGCTCACACCTAAAATCCCAGAACTTTGGGAGGCCAAGGCAGGTGGATCACCTGAGGTCAGGAGTTTGAGACCAACCTGGCCAACATAGTGAAACCCCGTATCTACAAAAAATACAAAAATAAGCTGGGCGTGGTGGTGCACACCTGTAGTCCCAGCTACTTGGGAGGCTGAGGCAGAAGAATCGCTTGAACCTGGGAGGTGGAGGTTGCAGTGAGCTGAGATCGTGCTACTGCACTCCAGTCTGGACAACAGAGCAAGGCGCCATCTCAAAAATAAAATAAAATAAAATAAAATAAATAAAATATATAGGTATCAAAAGCTTCAGGTGAGGCTATTTCATCATATCAATACATCATACCTGTGTTGTTTGAAATATGTGCTATATATGTGCATTGCTCTTTCATTCTTTCTTGTTTTAGAGACAGGGTCTCACCCTGTCACCTAGGCTGGAGTGCAGTGGCATGGTCATGGTTCACTGCAGCCTCAACCTCCTGGGCTCAAGGGATCCTCCCCCTCAGCCTCCCTAGTAACTGGGACCTCATCTAGATCCGTTGCTTTTTCATTTCTAATAGCCTTTTGGTTTGTGTGGTTTGGGTTTTGGTCTATTTAAATAACAGTGGTATCTTCTGATGTATATGATATGGTTAATTAAATTCTACCTGGAAATCTAACCACATGCCTACTAAGAGAGTTAGAGGACAATCATGGTTCAGCAGCCGAGCCCCTGAGTTCTCCCCAGCCTCACCCCTCCCAACCGCCTCTGCCTCCCCGACTATACATTATGGATTCTGCGTGGCCCTGAAGCCCTCTGAGTTTCAGCCTAGGCCTGGCCTTCCCACCTGTCCCACAAGACTCCCGCCATCTTCCTCACTCTTCCCTCACCCCATGACCATCTGCTCAGGGCCTGGGCCTTGGTATCAGAGCCCCACCTCAAGAGAAGCCCTGTCTTCCTGCTCACTGTTTCACTCGGGACCACACAGCCCCTCCCCCATCCCACCCCAGGAGGACTGGCACCCTGAGCAGCCCACCAGAGACCATGTTCTGGCAGTCCCTGTCCCTCAGGCACTAACCAGGATCTCCAAGCTACAGAGGATTCCTGGGTGGGAATGGAGGAGGTGTCAGGCCACATGCCTCCTTCCCTATGGGTATTGGTTGAAGAGAACTGCAAGGCATTGGGGACCCAGCAGTAACACCTGAGTAGTCACCTGAAGAAGCAGGGTGCTGGGGAGCCCACCCCGGATGGGGAGGAGACTTGCTGGCCTTGGGGAGAAAATCGGCTGTAGCTTCCAGGCAGCACAACTCCAGTTTCCTAGCTTGGTCAGAAGGGCCACTCCTCACAGTGGGATAGGGGTGGGAGCTCCCTGAGGAGGTGGGGTCTTAGGGTCTTCCATCCAAGTCCTGCAGGAAGCCCCTGGGAGGCAAGGTACTGGCCAAGCCAGGGTCAGAGGCTTGGGGTCATTGTCCTCCCTGGGTCCCAGTATGTCCATCTGTAAAACAGCCTTGCACTGCTACTCTTAAGGCACACACTGAAGGATGGGAAAGGGGAGGCACAAAACATCTGTGCACCAGGCACAGGTGCTAGGGAATTCCCAGGCTATTTTCTTGCACAATTCTCACAACTTCCCAGCAAAGTCAGTGTGATCATCTGGGACCTAGAGCCCTCAGTCTCACAGGGGAGGGAGCTGACGCTGAACCCTTGTGTGTCTGAGACATTCCCCACCTCAGGCTGTGTTCACAGTTCTCATGGGCCAGGGGAGTCACTGCTGCGGCCCTCACTTTTGTGTCTCCTCAGAGAACAGCAAAAAAACCATGAACATCAGCTCTTCCTCAAGCGCTGAAGAGAACCCAAAGAAACAGGCAAAAAAACCCAAAGGTAACCTTCAAGCTGGGAGGCTAAAGTCCAAGTTGGCAGGAGGCAACTCCTCTCCCTCTGCCCCCAGACCCCCTCAGACCAGGTCTTGAGAGCTAAGGGCAGAAGGAAATGCTTCTCTTTCCATTAGGAATTGGATTACAGAGACTTGAAATAACAGGCACATAAACAAAGTAAGACTTATTGCTCCCTCTATTAATGAGAAATGTGGGAGGGAGTGCAGGCTTTCCTGAGGCTCCATAAACAGCCGTTCCATAAAACCTTTCAGGTGACCAAGTCCCCAAGTCTCTCTGCTCCACCAGAAAGGAATTAGGGCTTTCAACCACAAGATTGTCTCATGCTCACAAAATGGCTGCTGCAGCTCCAGCCTCAGCACATCTGATTCCAGGCAGAGAAAGGAACAAAGGGAAGGGCAAAACTACCCTCCAGCCAACTTAGCCTTCTAGGGGAAAGGATTCTTCCCCAAAGTCCCAAGCAGCAATGTCTTCCCACATTCCAGCAGCTAAATTTGCCATATGGCCATCAGGATCTACAAGGAGGGCACACTGCTGCCACCGTTAGGAGGAAGGAGGGCAGGCAGCTAGCTAGCTGCATGTACCTCACCCTGGTAGCCCTGCACAGGGCATCGCCACCTCCTGCACTGTGGCTCCGACCTCCCTTGCCTGGACTCCCTGCTGTCTCCCACTCTGCCCCTGGGCTAACAGACCAGTCTGGTCCTTCCGCTGAGGTCTGCAGATGTGAGCGTTTCTCCCAGCCTGTGCTCCATGGCCCAGGCTCCCACCCCTCTCCCCACCACATTTCCTCTCTTTTATTATTATGGAATTATAAAATGAAAATTCAAACATGTCCAGATGTAGAGATTGGAGCCAGTGAGCCTCACAGGCCCACCACCAGGTTCTGCCACTGACTCAAATGTGCCCATTTGCTTCCTCTGTCCTTTCCCTCTTTTTCTTTGCCAGGATATTTTAAAGTAAAATCCAGACATGTCATTTCATCCACCTCAGTGTGCACTTCTCAACAATAGGGGCGTTCCGCACAAACCCAAGCACCATCACCACACATGACAAAGTGAACCAGCCCAACCCATGGTCAGACTGGCCCAGTTATCTCAGAAACATCTTCTGTAGAAGATTCGTTCTAATCAGGATTCAAAGGAGACCTGAGCTCCTTCAGTCTCTGTGAATCTAGCAGCCCATTCCCTGGCCCATCCCATCACTCTCGGGCCTTTGACTTGTTGAGCAGTAGTGTCGTCTCTCCTGCAGCAGGGCCCAGTGTCCCCATTCTGCATTTGTGTGTCTGCTTCCTGATGCTGGCACTGGGACTGCTTCTCTGTGCCCATCCTTCCTGCCCTTGGACATTAGCCCCAGGTGCTTGACTAGATCCTGGCTCCCCTTGGTCGCCAGGCTCTTCTCATGGGCAGAGGAAGCACCTGCATCTGCTGTGGATGCAGAGGCACGGGAGGGAGAGAGCCCTGGGGGTGAGCACCTGACCCTCCGCACAAACTATCACGGCAGCCATTCACCCAGTCACCCATCTATCCCTTTGTTCTTTTTGAGACACGGTCTCACTGTCACCCAGGCTGTGGTGCAGTGGTTCGATCACAGCTCACTGCAGCCTCAACCTCCTGGGTTCAAGCGATCCTCCTGCTTCAGCCTGCCGGGTAGCTGGGACAACAGGTGCGCACCACCACACCTGGCTCATTTATGTATTTTTTGTAGACAGGGTTTCACCATATTGCTTTGGCTGGTCTCAAACTCCTGGGCTCAATTAGTGCTTTGGCCTCGGCCTCCCAAAGTGCTAGGATTATAGGCATGAGCTACAGCACCTGGCCCAGTTTGTGAGTTTTGACAGATGTGTACAATGTGTTTCCTCCACCCTATGAAGATCTAGACCATTTCCATCTCCCCAGAAATTATCCTTCCCGGAGAGACAGCCACTCTTCAGCTATCCCCACCAAACCACTGGCTCTCCTCTCCAGCCTCCTGTAAATGGAATCACACACTCTCTAGCCTTTCAGTTTCAGCTTTCGCTCAATATCCGGTCTGTGAGAGGCATCCACATTGCTGTACCTAGCCAGAGTCCCTTCTGTGCATATGCCAAGCATTTATTCTTTCTATTGCTGGTGAACATTTGGGTTGTTTCCAGTTTTTACAAATAATGCTGCTATGAAGTCTTGTACATGTCACTTTGGGGACATAAGCACTTGCATCTCCTGGGTACACACCCAAGAGTGGAATTGCTGGTTGTGTGTTTAACTTTAGTGGATAAATGAAGTTTTCCAGAGGGACTGTACCAATTCCCAGTCCCACCAACAGGCATACGACTTCTAGTTGCTCTGTGTCCTCTCCAACTTGGGACACTGTTGATCCTTTTAATATGACTTTGTCCTCTGGGTATGTATATATTAGTATCTCATATTTCCTGGTAACCCAGGAGGGCCATTCCCTTTTCACATGGTTCTGGGTCATTTGATGATTCTGTGTTGGGACGTACCTGTTTCCATCTTCTGCCCACTTGTCTGTTGCACTGCCTGTTTATTTTAATGACTTATCGGAGCTCTTTACTGGGTAGAAGTCACTTGCTAGTTCTAAGGATGACAGATATATTCTGCCACTCCTGAAACTGCCTTTTACTCTCTGCGCAGTGCTAAAAGGCACCAATAAAAAGTTCCTGGCTGGGCACAGTGGCTCACCCCTGTAATCCCAGAACTTTGGGAGGCCGAAGCAGATGGATTACCTAGGATCAGGAGTTTGAGATCAGACTGAACAATACGATGAAACCTCGTCTCTACTAAAACTATAAAAATTAGCTGGGTGTGGTGGTGGGCACCTGTAGTCCCAGCTACTCAGGAGGCTGAGACAGGAGAATTGCTTGAACTCAGGAGGCGGAGGTTGCAGTGGGCCAAGATCATGCTACTGCACTCCAGCCTGGGCAAAAGAACAAGACGCCATCTCAAAAAAAAAAAGTTCCTAATTTTAGTGTAGTTCAGTTTCATGTAGCTCAATCGTTTCTTCGTTATGGCTTTTAGTGTCTTATTTTAAAACTCTTTAGTGACCCCCAAGGTCATGATATCCTCTGATTGTGTCTTCTGCAACTTTTTGTTTTACTTTCACAATAAGACCTACAAACCACATCTTAATTGACCTAATTGTAACCATTTCATTTGTAGATTCCTTTGGGTTTTCTACTAAACAATCATGCCACCTTGAATGGCATTATTTTCTCTTCCTTTATAATCCTTATACCTTCTCTGCCTTTCTTTTTTTCTTTTTGAAACAGGGTCTCACTCTGCTACCCAGGCTGGAGTGCAGTGGTGCCATCTCGGCTCACTGCAGCCTCGACCTCCTGGGTTCAAGTGATCCTCCCACTCAGCCTCCCAAAGTGCTGGCATTCCAGGCATGAGTCACCATGTCCAACCTTTTTATTCCTTTTTCTTGAATCACTCCCCCAGTGAGGACCCTCATTTTAATGCAGAATAGCAATGTCAAGACCAGGCATCCTTGCCTTGCTCCTGGTCTGATCCTACATGGGTGGAGGGACATTCAGTATCTCATCTGAAGGTTTCTTGTAGATATATGTATTTATTTCCTATTGCTGCCGTGACAAATCACCACAAACTCAAAGGCTTAGAACAGCACAAATAGCTCATCTTACAGTTCTGGAAGTCAGAAGTCCTGTAGGACTAAACCAAAGCATTGGCAGGGCTGCCTTCCTCCTGGAGGCTGGGAGAAAAACCCATCTTCCTGCCTTTTCCAACCTCTAGGCGTGGCCGCCCGCATCGCTTGGCTCAAGCCTCTCACTCTGTCTTCAAAGGTAGCAGCACAGTTTGTTGAGAGTTTTTATCATAAAGGGATGCCGAATATTGTCGAATGCTTTTTCTGCATCTTTTGATATGATCATGTAGTTTTTGTTTTTAATTCTGTTTATGTGATGTATCACATATATTGACTTGTGTATGCTGAACCATGTCCACATCCCTGGGATGGAACGCACTTGATCATGATGAATTATATTTCTGATGTGCTGCTGGATTCAGTTAGCTAATGTTTTGTTGAGGATTTTTGCATCTATGTTCATCAGGGAAATTGATCTGTAGTTTTTTGTTTTGTTTTGTTTTGTTTTGTCCTTTCCTGGTTTTGGTATCAGGGTGATACTGGTTTGATTCTATGAGCATCTCTTCTTTCTCAATATTTTGGAATAGTTTTAGTAGGATTGGTACCAATCTTTCTTTGAATGTCTGGTAGAATTCAGCTGTGAATCCGTCTGCTTTTGGGCTTTTTTTTGTTGGCAATTTTTAAATTACGAATTCAATCTCACTACTTGTTACTGGTCTGTTCACGGTTTCTATTTCTTCCTGATTTAATCTGGGAGAGTTGTATGTTTCCAGGAATTTACCAGTTTCCTCTAGGTTTTCTGTTTGTGCACATACATGTTCATAGTAGTCTCGAATGATCTTTTGTATTTCTGTGGTGGTGGATGAATATCTCCAGTTTCATTTCTAATTGAGTTTATTTCGATCTTCTCTCTTCTTCTCTTGGTTAATCTGGCAAGTGGTCTAAACCAATTTCATTTTCTTCAAAGAACCAGGTTTTTGTTTCATTTATGCTTTGTATTTCCTTTGTTTCCATTTCATTTAGTTCTGGTCTGATATTTGCTATTTCTTTTCTGCTGGGTTTGGATTTAGTTTGTTCTTGTTTCTCTAGTTCCTTGAGGTGTAACATGAGGTTGTCAATTTGTGCTCTCTCAGCCTTTCTGACGCAGGCATTTAACACTATGAACTTTCCTCTTAGGACTGTTTCTCTGTGTCCCGGAGGTTTTGATAACTTATCTCATTATTATCATTCAATTCAAAGAATTTTTAAATTTCCATTTTGATTTCCTTGTTAACCCAGATGTCATTCAAGAGCAGATTATTTATTTCCGTGTGTTTCTATCACATTACTCCACCTTGGCTTCTCTTCCTGCACTCCTCGTTCTGCCCCAACCCTCCTGCCTCCCAATTACAAGGACCCTCGTGGTTACACTGGGCCCACCCGGACACGCCAGGACACCTCAGGATCCTTAGCTCAATCACATCTGCAAAGGCCCTTTCGCCACAGAAGGTGACACTATCACAGGTTTGGGGATTAGGACACGGGCATCTTTGGGGGCTGTTACTCAGCCAAAGCATAATACCCTTTATCAGATTTGGGGGTTCCCTTCTATTCCTAGTTGCTAAGAGTTTTATTCAAAAATAACCTTTGAATTTTATCAAATAATTTTACTGCATCTCTTGAAATGATTGTATCATTTCCTGTTTTATTCTGTTAATGGAAGGTATTACATTGATTGGCTTAAAAACATTCAACCACCTCTGCATTTTTGGAATGATTCGCCTCAAATGACTGCCATTTTTGGGGCGGGCTCATCTTCACCTAAACACATCAATCATCTTCACATGAATTCTGACCACTCCCAAGTCACCAGACTGCAGGTGCAGTGCCTGACTTCTTAAGCCAGTCTCCCCACAGCTACTTACAGTTATGGGACCTTGGCAGAGTATCTGACTGCTCCAAGCCTCAGTTCCTCACAGGTAAAATGGGAGTAACCATAATTTCCACCTCCTTGGGTGGTCAGGAACATTAAATCATGGAAAGTCCCCAGTCTGGCCCATGGCAAGTGCTGGGTGCTTCCTAGCTATCCATTTGCTTTTGTGATGGGGACATGGGATGGGCCACCCATATGTGCTCATCGCCAGTTTGGGAGCATAAAGAATTTTACTTCTCTGCCCCTGTGATCAAGCACCAGGTCCCACGATTCCTAATTGAGGGCAAACACCTCTTCCCTGGTTGAGTTGCTGGACAGGAGCAGGGAGCAAGAGCAAGTGCAGATTGGGAAGGTGAAGCAAGTGCCTGGCAGTTCCTCCACCAGCTGCCTGTGTCCCAGTGTCTGCCACCCAGAGCCTTGGAGCCTCACACTGTTCTCCACGTCCTTGTCCCGGCAGCTGTGCCAGGCTGCACCTCCTCACCCCATCCCACCTGCCTGCCCTCTCCCAGAGCTTCCTAACAACTTCTGTGACACCAGAGCCAACCTCCCTGTCTTCCAGAGACGTACTGGAGTTTTACATTTGTTTTCTAACGTTTCTGGGGGGTTGGTGTTGGGCTGGCGGAGAAGGCAGCCCATGTGCTCAGTTTACCCTCTCCACCTGACTTCTTGGCTGCCTGAGGCTCACAGGGAGGCCGCTGGCATCAGCTCCGTCTCCGAATTGCAGTCAGTGTGTAGAATTATGAGTGGGACGAGAGTCCACCCTGCAAAGCAAACCTTCACAAGCCCCTCTCTGGGCCTCTGGTCCCTCCCCAGGTCTGAAGTACTTTGTTCTTGGCCTTCCCTGGGAGGACTGAGAGGCCTGAAAAGACAGATGCAAGTTCACCTGGAGGCCCACAGCAAGGGCCGTGAGTTCAGTGTCAGCAGACCCTGGTCACCAGGCCCATCACTGACAAACAGCAGGCTCAGCCTCCCTCCTCCATAAGGGAGACTCCAGAGGCCTGCAGTGAGGGCTGACTGAAGGCAGATGTGTGAGACAAGGCTGTGCTCACCAGCTCTCTTTCAGGCGCCAGGGACAGAAGCCCAACTTAAACCAGGTTAAACTACAGAGGTGCCTTTATGGAGCTGGAAGGTCCAGGGTTGGACTTTAAGCACAGCTGGATCCAGGAGAACCTTCCCACTCACTCATGCTTTTCCATGCTGGGCTGGGTGGGCAGTGGGGCCCCGGAGACACAGACCACCGCCTGGAAGAGCTGGCTCGCCTTTCCAGCGAGGTGTCTCCCTTTCCAGAGCATGGTCCTGACCCTTCGGCGAATCCTTTCCACTTGTCTGGGGATGTGGATTTCTTCTTGCTCAGAGATCAGGAGCGGAATAAGGCTCTCTCCGTGAGTATCCAGGACAGACGCCAGCACCTCCAGGAGCTTCCCTGCTCCCACCGCTTCCTGGAGTGGCCACATTGCCCTTCTCGGAGGAGCACTTTCCTCAGGTCCTTCTCATTCCAGAATAGTCAATGGCTCACTACTTCCTACAAAATCAGCTGGAAACTCTCCTTGGCTCTCAGGACTCACAGTGTCCCACCCGTCTTCCCCTGTCTGTCACCACTCTTCTTGGGTCTCAGTCAGATAGACTTCTTGGGCTGCCGTGGCAACAGCCTCAGCCACCTCACCGCCACTTCCAATGCCACCTACATGAAACACCATCCCCTCCTGATACTCTCTGGGTCCTCCAAGACCCAGCTCAGCCCTCACAGGCCCTCTCCCATCCCACAGGCACCCCCTATGCTCAGGCCTTGTGCCCTTCCTCTGGCTGGACTCCTGCAGGTCAGATCCGCACACAGAGTCACCCATGGCACGCATACACATGCTCCCCCAGGTGCCTAGGGTCCCTGGACCAGCACCGACCCCACTCTTGCCCCATCTTCACCCCAGCCTGTCCTCTTGCTTTCCCAGCCCTGACAGCTATGAGCCCGGAGTGGGGACAGCACACTCTTGCTGCCTTGGGCACCTAGCCCTGCCCCACGTGCCAGGCATGGCAGCCTTCCCAGGGTCGCACCTGGGCTGCCCCACAGCCTCCATCCACCTCCCCCTGACTCAGGGCTCAGCGTCTCAGGGATTCCTCACAGCCGTGGTTCCCAAGGCAGCAACAGCTACACTGGCATCTGCAGGGCATGGGTGGAGATGCACAGGCTTCAGCCTGCCCAGGCCTCCACATCAGAAACCAGGGCTGAGCCTGTGGGCTGTGATTCCTAGACTGACTGAGACCCAGAGATTCTCTGACCCACGCCTTGGCTACCTACTATATCTTCTCCAACGAGGCACTCGGTTTTCCTCTACACTCAAGCCCAGCCCTAGCTCAGGACCTCCCCCGCCTTCCACTAAGAGTCTCATCCAACACACTCTCTCCACCACACCAAACAGGGTCACCAAACGCCATATTCACCCACGCAATAGGGTCAACGAACCGCAACCTCACCGACCCAACAGGGTCACCAAATCATACCCTCCCCCATCCAGCAGGGTACCCCACTCACAACCTCCCCTACCCAGCAGGTTCTCCCACTTATACCCTTCCCCACCCAGCAGGGTCTGACACTCACCGCCACCACCTCCCACTCCCGACAGGGTCCCCCTCAGTCTGGCCCTGCCCTCAATCAGCTGCCCAATGTCTTCTAAAGGCCACCTTGTACCCTGAGGATCTAGTAGGTGACATTTTCCTGACTGCAGTGATGGGGACGTGCACTCCAGGGGCCTCAGGCTGGACCCATTCGCCTGGGTTCTTAGATGCCATTTGTGTACCTGGTAGGTCCCAGCAGGAAACAGAAGTGACCCTAGAAAGTCCATATGAAGAGACTCCCGGGCCGATGCAGAAAAGTGGGAGAGGGTGTGGAGCTGGCAGGGGATATCCCTACCGTGAGAACCGGATGGCAAAAGGGACACAGGGCAGGGTGGGGATGTGGGGAGGTGAGTCCAGCCTTCCCCCTCCTCCGAGGGTTTTTTCCCAAGGGAGGGCTGGCTCGAAGCCACCCCCAGGTCGCACAGGAGCTGGAGTGGGGTGGAGAGCAGGTGGAGATGGCCACCAACGGTGACCTTCCAGCTAGGCTACACCCACTACACAGCCGTAGTCTTCGGGAACCCCAGAGCCTCTAGGTTCCCTGCCCTGGGCTGGTCATCAAAATATACGACTCTCACTTAAATGTGGATTTCGGATAAAATGAGACATCATCTTTTCGGGTGAGCGTGTCCCCTCTGTGGGTCTGGAGTACTCATTCGACCGGGCAGCCTGTGTTTGACCAGGGGACCCTGACTGGCGCCCTTCTCAGGGGCAACTGGCCTCCCCAACAGTTGCCCTGCCTGCTTGGCTGTCAGCCCGGGGCTGCTGTGTTCAGGCCCCCGTGTCCCCGCGCTGCGTAGCTCCACCGGCATCCTCCCGCGCTCGCGCGCAAACCCGCGTCCCGGGCCTCAGGCCCGCGCGCCCCTAGGAGTGGACGCGGGTGGGAAGCCAGGGCCCCGCCCGACTTGGCCCGACGCCCCCAGGAGCGGCAGCAGCAGAAGACGATGCGAGTGCACGAGAAGATGACCTACTCCTCCAAAGTGTTGGCTAAGCGCACCAGCTTGCGACGGCAGCTGCAGCTGGAGGATAAGCAGGAGGACCTGGAGGCGCGCACCGAGGCAGACCATCTGCGCGCCTTCCGCGACTACAATACCTGGAAGCTCACCTTGACCAAAGGTGCGTCCCCTCCGGCGCGGGGGGAACCTGGGCCAGTGGCGCCCCACATCCGCAGCGCATGGGGCGCTTGGAACCTCGGTGCCACTCGTCTTGCACAGATGGGAAGTGCTTTGGAAAGGCCCGCCTTTTCTGTGTTTGGCCCCTCTAGGGGGGTCCCAAAGCTCTATTCCAGGACTGCAAGCCTAAAAGCTTTTCAATCCTAATAGGATAGTTCCCCACCTTATCCTTGGTTTCTCTTTCCTTGGCATCAGTTGCCGGAGCTGAAAGTAGGTGAGTACAATACAGTAAGATATTTTGCGAAAGAGACAATTTGCCTAACTTTTATTACAGCATATTGTTATAATTGTTCTATTTTTATGAGTCATTATTATCTCTGACTGTGCCTAATTCATAGATCTAATATAACTCCATCACAGGTAGCTATGTGTGGGAAAAACTTAGAGAGGCGCAAGTCAGACACAGTAAGGACTTCCCACCTGGCCGGACTCTGGCCATGGAGAATGTAACATTTCAGGCAGAGCCTTCTCTCTTTGTGGAGACAGAGGACAAGAACACTGCCTTCCATGGTCCCGGTAATCACCTGGGCGTGGACGCAAAGCAGTGCCCAGCAGCCAGCGGAAGGCTTCTCTGCAGACCTGCCAGGCCCCTCCTCAGCCTGGGCTTCCCGCTCCTGCTCACCTCCCTCTTCTTCCAGCAGAAAAGAATGTGGAACCTGAGAACATGAGTGGCTACCTTAAGCAGAAGCGGCAAATGTTCCTCCTCCAGGTAGGTCCCGCAGCCCCCAGCTCGAGGGATGCCAGCAGGGGCTGGCCTGGGCCAGGCACCATGACCCCACTCTACTGGCCCCCAGTATACCCTGGATTGCAAACGGAGAGAGATCCAGCGGCTGGAGACACTGGCCACCAAAGAGGAGGCCAGGCTGCAGCAGGCCGAGAAGTCCCTGGCGAAGGATGCCGCCTTGTTCGACGAGTTCCTCAGGGAGAACGACTGCAGCTCCGTGCAGGCCATGAAAGCGTGAGCCTGCAGGCCCGAGGGGCTGGCTGGGCAGTGCCGAACCCCCATTGTCCCTGGGCCTGTGCACACCCACTCATCCATCCCCTCACCCAGCCTCTGCCCCCAGCCCCTACAACACTTCTGGAAGCACCAGGGCTGGTCGGGAGCCAAGGGCAGGGGATACTACAGGCAAAAGGATTAACTCTGTGGCTCTCCAGCCCTGTCCGGAGCCAGGCACAACCCTGGGGCCTGTGGGTGGTGGGCTCACCCCTCTTTAATAGGCTGCCACTGGCCCCCTGCCCCCATCCCTCCTCCCCCACGCCCAACTCCTAGGGCTGAGAAGGAGACCAAAGCCAAGATAGAGAAGATCCTTGAAATCCGGGACCTCACCACCCAGATTGTTAATATCAAAAGGTGAGGTCAGAGGGCATGCTGGCCATTGACTGGCCCACCTCCTGGTCCCTCAGTCATCTTGTCTGGCCAAAGGGAGCCTAGCGCCATGTGAACCTCATGGCTTTACCTCCCAGGGACTCAGTGCTTCCATAAGGCTGTTGCCCATTTATAGACAAGGGGAGTGAGACCAAGAGAGATTCAGTGACTCCCAAAGCTTCCACTTGGAGGCAGGCAGTTTGGTTCAAAGGCTCGCCCAGCTACAGCCTGAGAGAGGTGCAGTCTCCAGGGTGGAGAGGAACTTGCAAGTCACAAAAGGCTGTGACTCTGCTTGTTGCAGGGTGGGTGCCCATCTTCCAGCATGTGGCATTCCAACACCTTTTCTCAAGGAAAACAAGGAGCCCACACAGACTTGGCCAGGATGGAGGTGTGGCCCCGGCATGGGGACCTCACTGTGGCAGAGGCTGACCTCCTCTTTCCCACCCCCCACCCCACCCCGATGTAGTGAGATCTCCAGATTTGAAGACACTCTGCAGCATTACAAGGTCTACAAGGATTTCCTATACAAGCTGTCGCCCAAGGAGTGGCTTGAAGAACAGGAAAAGAAACACTTGTTTCTCAAAAATGCCAAGGAGATCTCCGAGGCTTCCAAAGACGGCAGTGTTAACTCCACACCAGGGGACAAAGGTAGCAGAAAAGAGAATGTGGGTTCCCATGTGGGCTCTGCCAGTGGCCCACTGAGACCCTGAGCCCAGCTGGCAGGTTACCTGCAGGCATCTGGGCCACATGGCATCACTGAAGCTTGGCTGCAGCTGAGGTCATTGGGACCCCCCCTTTGCTTCCTGCAGGACCAGGGATCAAGGGCAAGGCGAGCTCTGTGTGGGCCAAAGGTGAGCTGCTGCCCCCAGCCTGAGGAGCCCGGCTCCGCCCTGCACAGGGTTCAGAAACCATTCCTCTGCTTTCTCCAGAGGGTCAGGGCACAAAGAAGCCCTGGAGGTTTCTGCGGCTGGGGCGGAGCCTGTCTTACCTGAGCAGCCCCCAGCAAGGCAGCCAGCCCAGTGAGTCTAGCGGTGGCAACTCCAGAGGGTGAGTGGACTCCGGTGGGTGGGAGGGGCTGGGGCCTAGCAGGGAGCCCTCCCTTGTGGCACCCACGTGTAGTCAGGTCTGAGTGCCACAGAAAAGAAAGTATGTTACTCACAGTCCCTACTGCACGAAGGGCCACACTGGGAAGTCCCAGGTCGGCCAGGAGGCAGAGGGAGTAGGGCCCTAGGGCAGGAGTTTCCATTGTGGTTCCCATGGGAATTCAGGTTGGGGCGGTGAGCAGGTGTAGGGCTGATTTGTTTTGGAATAATTTCGGGGCTCTTGGACAAAGGCCTGCCCCTGGTTGTCTGGTCCTGGCCCTGGGGGGATAGGTCCTGAGTGTGAAAGTCTGATAGAGGGTCTGGCTGGGGTGTGGACAGTGGATTGGGTGGTTTGCATTTGAAAGGTGAGCTGAGGGCAAGCTCGGAGGCCAGGGTGAGTCATTTCCTGTCTCCGTGGACTGGTCAGCCCTGAGAGAGGTGGTCCCTCCAGGCTTGGCAAGGCCACAGGTGTCAAAAGCAACAAAACACAGAACATCAAAGTCATGGTCACTACATGGGTGAAGTGGTCTTCAGGACCATACGATTTTCAGGACATTTTCCTGATGACACATCTGAATACATTTCATACTTACTGGCTGTTCAGATGTCATTTTTTTGTGAAGTATCCGATTTCTGTACATTTTTGTTGGATTATTGGCCTGGTTCTTATGGTTACCTATTGGTTCTCTATGTATTCTGGGGACCAGCCTGGTGTGGTAAGTGTGGTACACATATCTTCTTCCAGTTTGTGTCTTGCCTTATTTCTTATTTATTTATTTATTTATTTATTTAGAGATGGAGTTTCGCTCTTGTTGCTCAGGCTGGAGTGCAGTGGCGTGATCTCGGCTCACCACAACCTCCACTCCCCGGGTTCAAGCGATTCTCCTGCCTCAGCCTCCTGAGTGGCTGGGATTACAGGCATGTGTCACCACGCCCGGCTAATTTTTTGTATTTTTAGTAGAGACGGGGTTTCGCCCTGTTGGGAAGGCTGGTCTCAAACTCCTGACCTCAGGTGACTCTCCAGCCTCAGCCTCCCAAAGTGCTGGGATTACAGGTGTGAGCCACTGCGTCCAGTCACCTTATTTCTGTTTAATACTGTATTTTGAAGAACAGGAATTCTTAATTTTAGGGAAGTCAAATTTACCAATCTGTAATTTTATGATTGGTGAATTTGGGGCCCTGCTTAAGAAATATTTGCCAACATCATAGTCACTAAAATATTCTCCTGTGTTTTCTTCTGGAAGCTGATGATTTTTATTGGCTTGGATAAGGGTGGCAGAAGCGGGGATGGAGAAAAGTGGGCACTGTAGGGCTCGGGGCTGCTCCCTACACCCCTGCCCTGGCCCTGTGTCTGTGGCGACCCACTCTCCTCCACAGGGTCTTTATCTGCTGCTCAGCCCTTCTGCCCTCCACCCTCTGTCTTCCCCTCTCCACGACTGCCTGTTCCTGAACTCCACACCTAGATGGGTGGCCCCAACATCAGCCTCCCATGGCCCAAACTGATGCTTCTCCAGCTGGAAGAGGACCCAAGCTGGCTTTCCTCTCTGCCCAGCGCAGCCATGCCTTGTGGGGAAGACCAGCCACCACTGGGGCGTGCTGCTGGGCCATGCACAGGCTGGTGTTAATGCTGCCTGCCATGAAGCCCTGCATTTCCAGTTCTGTGTTGAGGAGCAGAGGTTCTAATGTATGCAGTGCAGCCTGCTCCGCCTAGGGCCCCCTCAGCCATGGACTGACCCCTACCAGACAGGCCCTGACTTGGGAGACTTGAGAACAGAGTCAGGGACCACACTATACTGGGTTTCAATCTCCTAGCCCCTCCGTCTATTAGCCAGGTGACCAGGGCCACTGAGTACAGCTGGGCAGGTTGTGAACTATACAAGGCACTCACTCAGCCAAGAGGGCACGTGGGAGCTGAAGTCCAGCCCACCCCCACCAACTGCCAGGTCAGGCTCCCTGACCCAGGCTACATCCATCTGGAGGGTGGAGTCTCAGAAAGGCATCGTATGGGCCAGCAGTGCCCTGCAGGCAGCCAGCTCCCTCATCTGTAAAATGGGCATCGGTGTGCAGTGTGAGGCGTGGGTTTGGCAAGTGCTGTAGTTGATATCACAGCCTCTCTTGGGAAGCCCTCCTGGGTCTGCCTTCAGAGTTCCACAGGACCTTACCCTGATGCCTCTCCATTTCTGGGGGCTAGGGGGTGGCATCTCCAAGCCCAAGCTCAGGTCCCTGAGGTGCCTGGGGCGAGCCAACGCAGCCCCCCGACCTCAGCCAGCAGGACCTGCAGATCCTAGGTGAGGCCCAGGCTGGAGCAGGCTGGGAGGGCAGGTTTGGAAGTCGGTGGAGGTGAGGTCCCCATCCAGTGGGGCCTTCTGGGGCCCACATTGAGCGTTTAAAGCTCACACAGCTTGTGCCCAATCCCTCTCCACTGGTCCAGAAAGACCTTGCCCCTGGGCACTCAGGATCACCTGAAGGCAGCCCTGAGAGTCCCTCTATTGCTGTGAGTGGGACCCCAAGGACAGGGGCCAAGACTGACCCTAGATGGGGGAGGCAGGGCAGGAAAGGCCTCAAAGGTGGCGCTCAGTAAACAATGGTGGGGGAGGAGGGACAGCCCCAGCAGCCAGCGGAGCTGCAGGTGCAGAGGCCTGGGGTAGGGCAGCACCCGGAGAGAGGGGACCTGACCGGGCGGGCAGAGGGGCTGGGGCAGGGGAGGCAAGGTGAGTGCTGGGAGGGCCGCCTGGCAGCCCCCAGGAGGAGAGAGGGTTTTCTTCTAAGTGCAGTGGGGCTGGGAAGGGTGAGGGCCATTTGGCCACCCAGGACTGGGGCCTCTGGGGACAGGTCTGGAACATGGCTTGTCCTGCATGTCAAAGTGGCTAGGGCCTTGGGAAAATGAGTGGATTGAAACTATCCCCTGGCTGCAGTGTGGCAGCTGGGGACTGTGAGGAAGCTGGTGCTGCCCTCTGGGCAACTTGTGGGCAGCTGGGAGAGGAGGGATAGGGATGCTGACAATGCCTTCAAGACCTCTGTGCCCCTCCCCGGGCTCCTGTCTGCTCAGGCTGGTCCCAGAGTCCCGACCCTGCCATCTCTTCGCAGGTCGAACTCTCCCATCCCCCTCACGCAGGAGGACACCGACAGCGATGGGGAGGTGAATGGCTGGAATTCAGAAGTCGCCCCTCCCTTGCCGTGCCCCTATCCCTGCCCCTCTGGCTCTGTCCCTGGCCAGTCCCTGCCAAAACCTGTGGGTTGCAGGAACCACAGCTGTACTTCACGGAGCCCCAGCAGCTCCTGGATGTCTTTCGAGAGCTGGAAGAGCAGAACCTGTCGCTGATCCAGAACAGGCAGGAGATGGAGGAGACCCTGGAGGAGCTGAGCCGCACCCTGAAACACACACAGATCCGCATGTAGGTACCGCGCGGTGGCCGGCGGGGGCTCCCTGCCACTCTCATCCTGGGATCCCTCTGCACTGGGAGCCGAGTTGGCAGAACAGCCCCCACCCCTGTCCACGGCCCTGGCCTGGTCCAGATTGTCTGAAAAGCTCCATGTGAAGCTCCGTTTGTGGGCCGGATCCTGGAGAGAGGGTGCTGGAGCTGGGGGTGGGCAGGGCCCAGGCACCTGTGCCTACCCTGAAGCAGCCCATGGCTAGAGCCAGGCCTTTCCAAGGAGCTTCCACCCTAGGCTCCTTCTGCTGCCGCCAAGCTCCTGGGGGGCCCTTGGAGTGGCTGGAGATCCACAGCAACCCTGACCCCCCAGTTCCTGGCAGCACTAACATACTTCACACAGGCGCCCAAAGCAGTCATTTGCTCAGAAGGGCCTGGAAGCTGCTGCTGCTTCATATTTCGTAGACCAGAGTGGGTGTTCACGGCACAGAACTGGGGAAGGCCAAGCCACCTGTGGGCTGCTGTGAAGTGTGTCCCCCACTGTTGTTCAGCAGCGTAACGGGGACGGGAGTGGGTGCAGCCCTGAGCAGGAGGACATGGGCGTGGTGAGTCATGCCATCCTGCAAGCTGGGGCCAAGTGGGGCTGAGATGGGTAGGGATGGGTGAGGGCCATCTGGTCACCCAGGACTGGGCTTCTGGGGACAGGCCTAAAACACAGCTTGTCCAGCATGGCAAAGTGGCTAGGGCCTTGGGAAAATCCTGGCCTCCCAGTTCCAACCAGAGAGGCAGCAGAAGTAGTCAGGTGGCTGCCCAGTTCTCACCTGAAGCCCACCTGAGGTTATTATGGTCCCTCCTGCTGGGTGTGGCCACTCAGTCTACTGCAGGACACCTGCCTCCAGAAGAACTGGGCAGGGCAGGGTCAGCCTGAGGCACTGGTGAGGCATGTCCAGAGCAGGGAATCCTCTGCTCACTCCCCATATACTGCCTGTGCATCCATTCTGGGTCAGGCCTGGGTCTAAGCTCTGCAAGGATAAAGCAAGGCCCTGCCCTCATGCAGCTGACCTTAATGGCAGCAGATACAACAAACAGGTCCACAGATGTGACTTGTGGATACTGATGTGTTCTAGGAGGAAAATAAAGCAACTTGAGAAAGAGGGCTAAAATGGAGGGTGACAGCAGATGGGAGGGGCAGGGAAGGCTTCCAGGAGTTGTCAGAAAACTTCCTGAGGAGTGGGAGGAAAGCCATCCACACAGAGGCTGGGCAAAGAGGGTCCCAGGCAGCAGGAACAGTGGGTGCAAAGGCGCTGAGGTGGGGGCCCATTGAGGCTTAAGTGTCCCATGGGGGAACCATGCTCCTGAGCACCCATGTCCCATTGGTGAGGTGTGGCAAAGAGTCCCCAGAATGATGTGAAATCCCCAGCCTCAGGCAAGACTATGTATCCTGGAATGCTGGGAGGTGACAGACACAGAGGAAGACGAGCTAGGGAGAGGTGGGCAGGCTCCCAGCTTAATTGGGCAAGAAGACAGGTTCCTCCTCCAACACACACATGCAAACGTAAACCTCATAGCAGAATGCTGGATGTAACATCCCAAAGCTGGTCTTCAGCCAGCCAAGCCATCCCTGAGAGCACCCACACTTTGTTTCCAGGGGAGTCGCAGCCCATGTGTATTTAACTTCCATGAACTCAGCAATCTTTTCTCAGAAAAAAATCAAAATACAGTCTTAAAAATATATAAAACAAATAGACAATCATAATAGGCCTATATCCATTAAAGAAATTAAATCAATAATTAATAGCTTTCCAAAAGGGAAAGCCCCAGGCCCAGATGGGTTTGCTAGTGAATTCTTCTTTTCTCTGCCTCTTGTGACAGTTTTTGACTTAAAGTCTATTTTGTCTGATATTACTGTTGCCATTTTGTTCATTTTTTCTGTCTGTTTTTTTGCTCTCTTGTTCCTCCTCTTCTGCTGTCTTTCTTTTTTTTTTTTTTTTTTTTTTTTTTTCCAGTGATCTGCTTTGATTCTTTTTATCTTCTTATGTATCTACTATAGGTTTTTTTTGTAGTTACTTTCATGAGACTTACACTGAGCATCTTATAATAGTCTATTTCAAGCTGATAACAAATTACTTCAATTGCATACAAAAACCTCTGAATGTAACCATTTTTTGTGATGTTACCTTTACCAGTGAGATGTATACTTCTGCATGCTTTTGTGTTGCTATTTAGTAACTTTTTGTTTCAACTTGTAGAATTCTCTTTAGCACTTCTCTAAGGCAAGTATTGTGGGTGACCACCTCATTCAGGTTTTGTTTGGGAAAGTCTTTATCTCTTCTTTATTTTTAAAGGATAGTTTTGCTGCATATAGTATACCTTTTAGCCATTTTTTTCTTTCAGTACTTTAAATATATCAACCCGTTTTCTCCTGACCTGCAAGACTTCTGCTGTGAAATATACTGATAATCTTATAGCAGTTCTGTTGTACATGACAAGTCACTTTTCTCTTGCTATCAAAATCTTTTTATCTTTGACTCTTGATAATTTAATTATAATATGTCCCCAAAGTAGATCTCTTAGGTTCTACTTACTTGGGAATCTTTAGGCTTCATGAATCTGGATATCCATTTCCCTCTGCAGACATGGGAACATTTCAGCCATTGTTTCTTTAAGTTCTCTTGATTATTGGGTACAAATATAAAGTTGGATAGAAGAAATAAGATTTAGTGTTTGATACATTAGTAGCATGACTGTAGTCTAAAGTAATCTATTGTATACTTCAAAATAGCTAGAATAATTCAAATGTTTTTAGTAGAAAGACAAATATTTAAAGTGATGGACATCTCAATTACACAGATTTGATCTTTACAAATTATATGAATGTATTACCACAGGTACTCCAAAAATATGTACATCTATTATGTATCAATAAAAATAAAATTAAAAAATACTTTGCCCTTTCTCTCTCTCCTTTTCCTTGAACTCTTATAATGCATATACTGTTTCAGTTGATGATATCTGTAAGTCCCATAAGCTTTTTTCTCTTTTTCATTTTTTTGCCCTTTTGCTCCTCTAACTCGCTAATTTCATATGACTTATCTCTGAGTTCCCTGATTCTTTCTTACGCTTGATCTAGTCTGCTGTTATTTTTTTTTATTGAAATTTTTAGTTCAGTCATTGCATTCTTAGCTCAATAATTTCTGGGTTTTTTTTATGGTTTCTATTTCTTTGTTGAACTTACAGTTTTCCTGATTTTGTTTAGTTGCCTATCTATGTTGTCTTACAGTTCACTGGGAGTCTATAAGACAATTGTTTTGAATTCTTTTTCAGGCAGATTGTAGATCTTTATTTCTTGAGGGTCAATAACTGGAGACTTATCAGGTTCCTTTTGTGGTGTCATGTTTCCCTGATTTTTCATGATTCTTGTGGCCTTGCATTGCTATCTGCACATTTGAAGAAGGAGTTGCTTCTTTCAGTCATTAGGGACTGGCTTCAGCAGGGAAAGCCAAAGGAGAAAGCCAGACAGCTCAGCCAGAGATTCTCCATGTGCTGGCTGGTGGGGTCTGTGGGCAGGGCCTACTGCCAAGGTCCAAGGTGGGTGGGGCGTGCTGTGGTGGGTCTACAGACAGGTGAGGTCTGCACATTGGGTGCTATCAGGCCCTGTGCCTTTTATTTGTTCCTAGCTGCCCCCCTAGGTGATCCATCCATGACAGTTACACCAGGGCTCTGGCAGAGATGAGACAGAAATGGGCCTCTTGGGAAGTACCCCAAAATGCATGGAAACCTGGGGTTCCACCTTGCTTTCTCCTTCCCCCAACATGAGAAACTGCAGGCCAGTGAGATCTCTTTCAGCACTGCCATGGCCTGGGAGAGAGGTGACATAGGCAGAGTGAAATTATTCTCTCACTCTCTATGGCTTTTCTCTGTTTTTATGTACCACTGGGTGCATAAACTGGGTGCTATAACCTCTCCCTTGAATTCTGGAGCTCTGACAAAGACATTTTCATCCATGGATGGTTGTCAAATCAGTGTTTCTGTGGGGGGACAAGAGCTGAGGACCCCCTACTCCACCATCTTGCTGATGCTATTCCTCTGGTTGTATTGTTAAATTCTTCTATCTATAAAATCAATCTATAGGTTTCCTTTCTGTTTTCCCCCTTGCCATCCATTTGTTGAAGAAACCAGATCACGTTCCCTATAGTGAAGTGCTTCTCAGACTTTATGTGCACTTGAATCCCCCAGGGATCTTAAAATGAAGTTTCTGATTCAATAGGTGTGGGTCAAGGTCTAAGACTCTGCATTTCTGACACACTTTCAGGTGATGCCCAAGTTGGTCTGAGGCCCAACTCTGAGCAGCATGTCCCTTGTGCATCTGTTTCTTATTTCACTTGAAAGGTGAATGTTGAAATTCTACTCCTAGATACATATTCGAGAGAACTGAGAACATGTCCTCACAAAAACCTGTACGTGAATGTTCATAGCAGCAATATTCCCAAGAGCCAAAAGGTGGAAACAACCCAAATGCCCATCAATGGATGAATGGATCGACAAAGTGTGGCCTATGTATGCAATGGAAGATTACTCAGTCACAAAAAGAAATGAAGTGCTGACACATGCTGCAACATGGATGGACCTTGAAAATATACTGGGTGAAAGCAGCCAGTCACAAAAGAAAACATGTGTGACTCCATTTTTATGAAGTGTTCAGGGTAGACACAAAGTTAGATTAATGGTGGCTTAAGACCAAAGGATAGGCCGGGCGCAGTGGCTCAAGCCTGTAATCCCAGCACTTTGGGAGGCCGAGACGGGCAGATCACGAGGTCAGGAGATCAAGACCATCCTGGCTAACACGGTGAAACCCCGTCTCTACTAAAAAATACAAAAAAACTAGCCGGGCGTGGTGGCGGGCGCCTGTAGTCCCGGCTACTCGGGAGGCTGAGGCAGGAGAATGGCATAAACCCGGGAGGCGGAGCTTGCAGTGAGCTGAGATCCAGCCACTGCACTCCAGCCTGGGCGACAGAGTGAGACTCCGTTTCAAAAAAAAAAAAACAAAAAAAACGACCAAAGGATAGAGGAGACAATGAGGAGTGACTGTTAATGGGCATGGGGTGATGAAAATGTTCTAAAATTAGATTATGGTGATGGTTGTGTAAACTCCTTGAATATACAAAAAAACTACTGCCTTGTATACTTTATGATGGTTATGCTAATTTTATTGTCTGTGAATTATGCCTCAAAGAAGCTGTTTATTTTCTTTAATGTTGACTGTTAAATATTTTAAGTTTTCCCCTACATTCTGCCAGCATTTCTGACCCCCTGGGCATGCAGAGACTTGGCACCCATGATCCTTCAGCCCTCAGGACAGCTGGTAGGGGCAAAGCACTGTACAGACGGTCAGGCTCAGAGAAGCGATGTGCCCAGGGCTGCGCTGAGTGACTGATGCCCTGCCGGTTTCTCCCTCCTCCAGGGACAGGGAGGTCAACCAGCTGAAGCAGTGGGTCAGCACGATGATGATGTCCATCACCAAGGAGGAGGACACAGCAGCTGAGCTGGAGCTCAAAGCCCGAGTCTTCCACTTTGGCGAGTACAAGGGTGATCAGCAGGTAGGCTGGGGATCAAGGTGGCCAGAGGCCCAGGGGAAGGAGGGACCCTTGGGCACCCACTGGAGGAGCACTGACAGGCCTTGGGAAGATGGAGGGCAAGGCCTGGGTAAGTGCCCTGCAGCTGCCCTTGCCCTGCCTGCCTCCAGGAGCCACCACATGTATCGATGCCTGTGCCAGCCAGCTTGGTTGCCCCCATGCCTCATTCATTGCTTCATTCTTTTATTCAACAAATGTGTCTGCTTCTTAAACACATAAATTGTGCCTGGCAAGGTGATCCTGAAGGCGGGGAAGAGGCGTGTCCCCAAGCCAGTCTGAAAGGGTGAGAGAATTCGGAGATAAGAGAAAGCCAGTGGTGTTCTGAGCAGAAGCCAGGACCCAGCCAAGGGCTCAGCCCGCTCCCAACCTGACAGCACACCTGGGGCCACCCTGGGCATGGGGCGGCTTCCTACTGTCAAGTGCCTGCTGTGTGCCAGGCACTGGGCCAAGGGTGTGGGACGCAGCCATGAGCAAGAAAGCACTCCTCTGATACAGCCAGAGTCCATGGGCACTAGCTGTGCCCAGGCTGGGCTGAGCTGCCTGCCTGCTGCTCCTCTCTCCTCATACAGCCCACATGGAGGCGCTGTTATTTGTTTTCTAAGTGTCAGAACAGTCTCAGAGAAGACATGGCCCTGTGGGATGCTCAGGGTACAGGGCTCCCTGGAGGAGGGGACTGGGCCCTGTTGGTGTACCAAAGGCAACTATGGGAGGGGCTGGAACCAGGGATCTGGCTGACTCCAGGGGGCCCAAGGGATAGGCTGCTCTGGCCATGACAAGCCAGATTCCCAAGTTCTGTTTCAGCCTATGTTCTCAGAGCTCCCAGTGTGTGCCAAGCGGTGGGAGGCCCCCACCCTGGGAGGTCAGCAGGCCACCGCTGAAGGCACTAGCATGGGGGTGGGTTTCGGCCTGCCAGCACTCTGCTGGAAGCCACCGACTCCACAGGATAAGCTGCTAGAGAGCCTGAACTGGAAGGTGCTGGACGTGTATCGGAACTGCATCGGCACCCAGCAGGAGGCCAACCTGGGCACCGTGCAGATGCTGACCATCATTGAGCACCAGCTGGATGAGCTGCTAGAGAACCTGGAGCGCGTGCCCCAGGTCAAGATCGAGCAGGCCGAGAGGGCAAAGGAGAAGGAGCGGCGCATCAGGTGAGCTCTAGGCCCTGCCTGCCAGCTGCTGTGTCCGGACTGGCCCTGAGGGCAGAGGGCATGTATAGGCCCTGGCCTCAAAGCGCTCCCAGGAGACAGGCCCCTCATGCTCCATGCTATGAGACAAAAGCCCAGGTCTTGGGGGGATCTAGAGGGGTATCACACTCAACTAGGGGGTGGTTAGGGAAAGCTCCCTAGAGCAAAGGACAGTGACTCGATGTGGCCAGGAGGCTCAGGGAGGGACAAGGTCTAGAAGACAGAAGAGGTGGAGCTCAGTTAGAGTGTGGCTATCATGGCCAGCCTCAAAGACATGGAATAGTAGTGGAGGGCTTTAAGCAGTGGGGCAAACATGGCCAGGTAGGGCGTGGTTAGATTCTTCCCTCTGGGGCTGGACTGGAGGGGCTGGAGGCTGAGGGCAAGGGCAGCTGCCAGCACCCGAGAGGGAAGGCATGGCTACAGCAGTGTTGCTGGAGCAGAAGACGAAGTGCAGAGGCTCAGAGAGCCTTGGGAGTTTCAGCTCGGAGGGGAGTGCAGGGGGGCAGATGGGCGGCAGCTTGTCATCTGTCGGGACACCAGCCTGGACCCAAGGTAGATGGGGGTCATGGCTTCCCTGGCCTGTGGGCAGCCCGGTTCATCCACTCCATGCAGGGCCCTGAGACAGCACAATCTGCAAACATCCATCCGTCCCCCACAAGCACAGGGGCTTCTCCTCTGGGTCCCTGGTGCCTTGCTCGGAGTGGGTACCAGACCAGGCTTTGATGACTGAGAGTATACACAAGACGGAGATAGGACTCTTGCTCCAGGGGGATGCTGGACCTTCACAGTGGCAAGGGAGGCCACAGGTGCACGGATCAGGCCATGGGTGTAGATTCAGGGAAATGTGCCTCTGGGAGAGGTCTGCTGGATGAACCTTAGATCAGCCCTTGCAGGAGGTCAGAGCCAGGGCCTTGGAACAGCAGGGCCCTGGCTGTCCTCCTGTGCGCCTAGCCCACCTTGGCCAGAAGCAGTGGTGCTTTGGCTGTGGACAGGTATTGAGGCCTTGACCTGGCAAAAGAGGTGAAGAGGAGCTGGGAGTTTTCTTGAGGGAGGACACGGCCTGGCCTGGGGACTCCGTGTGGAGATTACACAACAACTCCCAGGTCCCCCCAGTTTTCAACGTCATTTCTTGCTGCCCAGACTTCGAGAAGAGAAACTCCAGATGCAAAAGATCCTACAGGAGGAGCGTCTGGGGGGGGCCCGGGCGCGTGCCCAGGCTGAGATCAAGAAGAAGGTAGGCAGGGTCGCCCCGGGGGTCTCTGCTGGAGGGGGTCCCAAGACAGCATGGCAGCTGAGGTCCTGCAGCCCAAGCCCCCAATGCCCCCACTCTGAAGCATTCACTGAGGCTCTGAGGGAGACAGCCTGCCTTCAGAGCAAGGCTCTCCCAGGACCTGCTTCCTGCAGGGCGCTCTTCCCCAGCCTGCCAGCTCATGGCCCATGCCAGGCTGAGACTGGTTCAGCCATGCCCACCCACCCCAGCCAGGTACACTCTGCTCAGGAACAGGGTCCCACCACCCTACCCACACTCCGGCCAGACCCCAAGCCCTGCTCACTGCCTGTCACTGGGGTCCCCCTACTGCTGTGTCCCCAGGCCTCCGCCCTTCCTGCCTTCTGACCCTGGCAACAGGAAGCGGGTCCCCCTGCTCCCACATTTAAGAGGTGGTGATCCAGGGACCAGACTTGATAAATGCCAGGCAGACTCACATCCCCAGTTATTTCAGAGTTAACTCCAGCCCTCAGCCTGCAGGGCTGCCCAGAGTGGGCTGGAGCTGACTGGAGCTGCTGGGCCTCTCCCTGCACCAGGGGCAGGGGTACATGGGCATACGGCTCACTGGGCTTGTTTCCCCTGCAGAGAGGCAGGACATTGGTATGCCGCTCACAACCCCCAGTCCACAGGATCAAACAAGAGTCTGAGCACACACTGATGGACAAGGAGAAGGAGGAGCTGCTATTTTTCTTTACGTAATCTTCGCAGACCATAGCTGTTCTAGCTGAAGGCTTAGCAAAGATGTTGGCAGAGTCTGGGCTGGGTCTTGAATGGCCCAACTGAGTCTTCTCTGCCTCCTGTGTGCTCCCTTCCTCACCTGAATAAATTCATGTCTTTTTGGAGTCTTGAAGGCCTGTTTAAGGACGCAGCCACCATTGCCAAATCTCAGCATCCCCCCGGTTCATCATCAAACCCTAAGCAGATGCTTGAGGGCAAGAGCATGACACCTTGGTTCTCATCTAAAACAGCTGCTCTACGAGACAAAAGCTAATTTCACGCTGAGTGTAGTGTGAGATCAGTCTCTGTGCAAAGACCAAAGAAATGCAAGCAGGCAGCTGGGTATATGGCAGGGCCATCGCTACCAACTAGAGGAGAAACAACGGGCTGAACGCCATATATGCAGCTACTCGAATTAAGCCAAGGTGAAAAACCTTCGGTGCATGACTAGAGGCAAACTTTCATTCATTTGCACTAGGAGTTGGGCCCGTCACCGGCAGGGAACCTCAGGGTCCAGAATGCTGGGTGCCAGTCCCAGCCACTTCATGGTGGCGTTCCCAGGGAGGCACATGGGAGAAAAGTAGAGGCCGAGAGGGCATTCCTGGGGGCAGACCCTGCTCCCCGATAGAAACGGGGTGGGTGCGGCTCCACCCCCCATAGTGGCCAAAAGCCTCCCATGGAGGAGGAGGACTCTGGGCCACCTTGGGGCTGAAGAGTCTCCCAGGTGGGCAAGTTCTCTCCTTGGCTTTAGCTGGTGACAGAGCGGTGGTCTGTGGAGAAGACCCACTTGCTGATGGGTGTGGATTCTTCCATGTGGAACAGCACCTGGGGACAGCACCTCGGAGTGGGACAAGACAGAGGGAGGACTCACTCAAACTTGGTGTCACCCCCAAATTCAAGAAACAAACACGGCAGTTTGAATGATTCAGTCTGGGAACCAAAACAGCCTCTGAATGAACACACACTTCAAAAGGCACAAGGCAAAAAAAAAAAAAAAAATCGTTTAGGAGTGACCCTGTGTTATTGCTAAGTTAACAGACTTACAAATAAACAAAGGCAAGGTGATCATGTTGTCTCCTTTTGCAAGACAGACCTCACTCTATAAAAATATACATTGACGTATTATGTGCACATCAACCTCAATAATAAAACATAAATGCACCATCACAGTCCTACACGTAATTTATGGTATTCAAAACATCACTTTATAAACTATTGTCAAATTACCATTTAGACATTAATACCCAAATACAGAATTTAGAAAATTACTTAAAATTTTAACTCTACTATACCCTCAAGCTCTCAGCTATGAATTTAGTCTGGGAAAGAGGGCTCTGTAATAGGCCACTGAGGTCCTCTGTCCCACCACATCATTCTCCCCAAAAAACTAGCTGCCCAACTGCTCTGCCAGACTTGGGCTAGAATTTGGCTTCACTGTGGCAATGGGACCTCCTGGGTCCTACAGTGTGGCAAAACCAACTTTCCCACAAACCCCATCCCAGGTGCTGGGATGCTCACACACTGAAGCTGAAAGACCCCACTTGGTTTTGCCACAGATCAAGTTGCATCTGACTAGAGAGCCTGTTCTCTACCCTATTTCCTGCAGAAGTCTTTTTCCTTGTAATGCAACAAGTGCTACACAGCTCAGATCAATGGGACACGGGGAAAGGGGCTGTTGTGCACCCAGCCCTGCTGAAGGAGACCCTTGTCTTGCCAAAGCACTTTGCTCACAAAGGCAGTTTCAAAGAGTACAGCCCGAACTCGTTCCTGGTAAAACAAAAGGAAAACATTTTGATAAATGTACCCAAAAGTCTCAAAAGGGCTATGCTGGTCTTCTGAATGGAAACCAGATGAGGTCTCCCCAGGCTCATGTCATCTGACTCTCAGGGAAGGTGAGTCCTAGACCGTGGCCTTGGGCCTGCCCAGGCCGAGGCTGCCATCACTGCAGGTCCTGCAGGTTGATAGTGCTTCCTGGGAACTGGGTGGCCTCCGGTCCAGAAGGGCCTCCAGATGAGGGGAGCACCTCCTGCAAAACCAAGCATTGTCATGAGGAGGGAGGAGGGAGGGGAAGCAGAGGGATCCTGTGGCTCCACACAGCAGGCAACTGACCGGGCTTGTGGTGAGATACCTGACTTCTCTTAATCAAAACTACAGGCTCCCCTTATTCTAAACACATGTTCTTTGATGGAAAAATGAACTCAATACTGTACTGTAGATTTTTCAAGATTGTTCTGTCTGCACACTGACGTATACCTCACATGTTCACACACCCACATGCCTTTTTACAGAAACAAAATCATCTTTACTTCTGCAACCCTTTCTCCCCACTTCTCATGCGGTCCCTCCTAAGGCACCCTCCCAGGTATTAGGTGTCTGCCTGCGCCCTCACAGCTGACCGGCATGTGGCCCAGGGCTATGGAGGCCCCATCTAGCCTGTCTCCTCGTGTTAGAAGTGTTTCTGCTGCTGCACCATTCGACTCCGGGCTACGGTGATTATTCCACTACTTTTTTTTTTCAGGAGCAGTCCCAGGAGGGGGCTGCCAGGCACATGGAGCAGACACTTCTGAAGTTCTCTGATCCATGCTGCCAAACCGCCCTCCAGTTCACCCCTCTGCAGCCCGGGTGCTGCCCAGCCCTCTGCTCCCACCAAAAAAAATGTCCAAGTTTGGTTCTCATTGTGAGGAAAATGCTGAGTAGCCCAATTTGCAAAAAAAACTAAAACACAATTTGCATGGCTTATTATAAATATATAAACATGTAAGGCAAATTGTTAGAAATGTGGTAAGCTATACACTTTCGGTATTTCATACCAAACTCAATCATTCACTGCCACCCATCCTTAGCTTAACCATGTAAGCAAACTACTGAATTCATCTGAGTCTATTCTCCCACAGGCTGGGCCCTGGCCAGCCCTCTTCCCAGAGCAGTAACTGGAATTCCTAGGCACAGCACTTTCAAGAGCGTATTAACTTCTCCTGCTTTGTTTACCAGCAGGAGCTGCAGTGTCCTGCAGATCTGAGCTCCACTCACCCACCTTCTCCACAAGGCAGCAAGACATCCTGGCAACCAACCCACTGAGCCTCCCAAGCCACACGGCCTCAGTGACCAGCCTCAGCTGTGAAGCCAGCCTTCCGGAAGTCGAAGGCTCTGTGAGTCTCAATAAGAAAAACAAAGGGCAGTAAGCCATCCAGACCTGGAGGACGTAGACGGGCAGGTCCACAGTGAGGAAGGGGAGGAAGGCGGCTGGGCCGCGGGTTGAGGGCAGGACACCTTCGCCGGAGGGGTCATCCTGGGGAGGCAACACAGAAAGGCCTGTCACATGTCTGTGAGTGCAGCAACAGTCCTCGCCTCACCCGAGAAGTCTTCCAACTGCAATGCGTGGCAGAACCAGCCCACCCTCTGTATTCCAAGGGAGGCCTGAGGACCCAGGAGGAATTGTTTATGGGGTCTGGGTACTACCTGTTCCCACCTGGTGCTTATTCTCTCACCTTGATCCCAGCAGCTTTTGCTGGGCCTGGAACCTTCTGCTGTCCAGCTCCTCCCCTCAGTCAGCCCAAATACCGATTTCCCTCCTAAGGCACGCTCCTCAACTCCTTGCGGGTGCCCCGGCAACCCCTGCACCCCCACCAACCTCGAGTACCCACAGTACTCTCCAGCAAATCCTCGGGCCCCAGAGAGGGCCTTCCCTGCATGCCCCAGCTTGCCTACAGGCTAGCTGGAAGGACCAGGGCAGGTGGAGGGGCTCCTGGGAGGGGAGGCTGTCAGGCCCCTCACAGTCCAGGCTAGAAACTTCATCTGTCCCACACTTCACCTGTCCTGCACCTGCACATCCACCCATGGCCATTCACATCCCGAAGCAGAGCTCCTGGTGCTGCTGCCCCGTACCTCTCATTCCTTCTGCTTGAGAAGCTCCTGTGTGTCAAGGACTGCACTACTGTTCCCATTCCATAGATGACAAAACTGAGGCCTGGAGTGCTTAAGTAACCAGAACTACACTAGCTAGTAAGGGACAGAAAAAGAACTCAAACCCAGGTTTAACCAGGCGTCTCTTAAAAGTATACCCCTTACTTGCTCCTCTTCTGCCAGCGGCGCCAGCTTCCCTACCGTCTCCTATTGCCAAGCCTCTGGTCCTGCCTCTGTACCTCTGCCCTGCCAGTTGAGGCACTGTTTCCTTGGACGGTCCTCCCCCTCCACTGCTCCTGCTCCTGGGGAGTTCTTACCTCTTCAGAAGCTGGAAAGAAAGGACCAGTGCTCTTCTTGCCCATCCGTAAGACAAGCTTCCCACCTGATGCTCACCGCTAGCTTCCAATCAGCACAGGGCCACCCCCAGCTGCCTGCAGCCTCCTACCTGCCCCCTTCCCAGCCCACCTCTGCCCAAGCCATCCCTCCTCTTGCCTCTCTGAGCCCCAGGCCTGGTCCTGTTTCCTTGCTAAGCCTCTCCCAGACTATGAACCCACAAGCGTGCCTGTTTCCCAACTCAGAGCCAGCGTCAGCTCTACCCTCTGCACTTCCGTGGGGCCTGCAATCGCATCCTCTGCCACAGGGAATCTACAGAGTGGAGTGGTGAAGGGGGCACACACCTGGGCCAAACCCAGACAGCCCCGGCTTGTATATCTCTTCTCTCCCCAAATCCTTCCAAATCATCTTCCCTCCCCATTCCAGCCCCTCAAACTGAGACTGAAGATGCAGGTGTGCTCAGGGCTGCTGGAGCGGGTGTCCTCAAAAACCTGGAAACTGGCCACAGCTGCAGGTATCTGTGGCCCAGACAGGCTGGGAGGGGCCTGGGCCTGCCCTGGAGGGGCTCCGTTTCATAGGAAAGAAAATAGAACAACACTGAAAAGACCCCCACCACCTTCAGCATAGAAAGGCTGCTAGTCCACCACAAGCAGGCCGCCCTAGAAATGGTGGCTGAGGCGGCCTGCAGAGCCCCTTTGCCCCAGCCCTGCAGAATAAGGGCAAGGTGGCCTCAAACAGATCTCACCCTGCTGCAAAACAGCCCTGGGGGCCTCGGGCAGGGAGGCAGGCTGCACTGGGGCTAGATGCAGGGCCGTGCACAGACAGGGTCAGGAAGTGGATGCACGATCCCAGCAACACCCAGAGCTTAAGCAGATGCAGCAGGACAGGCTGGGAAAAAGGGAGGATCTGGGCTGTGAGGAGACAGGACTTGGGGCAGTCTACAGGGGAGGATGGGCAAGCGGCAGGCAGGGGGTGCTGCGATGGGCAGGGGTTGCGGCATGCTGCACACTTCTCAGACCTGTGTGACCCTCCCATCCCACCTACAGCTGGCCTGTGTGACTCGCCAGCTCTCACCTGCACCAGCTGGACCTGGACGCCCTGCGCCCCGCACTGTACCCCAGCAGGTGGAGCTGGTCCTGGCCGTCCTCCGCTGGGCACCACAAGGCTCCCACACAACCAACTGCTCTGGCTTGCGTGGAAATGGGGAGGACTCATTTTGCCTTCTTTTATTTTTCTCTGAGTAGACTGTGAGGTGCCTAAAATGAAATATAAAAACGAGCACACCCAATCTACAATCTACAAGTGAGGTCCGCCCTCACCGAGGTCTATGGGGAAGACAGCCTTTCCATTAATCATCATTCTGCACAGCCAAGAGACGTAAAATCACTCAACAGAAAAAACCAAGAGTTAAGAGGTTGAAACAACCAACCATACAAACAAAAAAAAACCAGGATTTTGATTTTAAAAATGTAAAAACATCATACATTTTTTTGCCAGATGGTATGGTAATCAGACACAAGCAACAGTAGTGTTGCTTAGCATCTTAGCATAAATGTACAGTCAGTATCATTGCTTAGTATTTTAACATAGTTAGCATGGTGAATATGGTTGCTTAACCTTTCAGTGTAGTTAGTACAGTCAGTATGGTTTCTTAATATTTTAGCATAGTTTGTACAGGTAGTGTCAATGCTAAGTACTGCTAGCATAGTTGGTGTGGTCAGTATCATGTCTAAGAATGTTAAGAGTTGTTAGTCTAGGCCAGGTACGGTGGCTCACGCCTGTAATCCCAGCACTTTGGGAGGCCAAGGCAGGCAGATTACGAAGTCAGAAGATCGAGACCATCCTGGCTAACACGGTGAAACCCTGTCTCTACTAAAAATACAAAAAATTAGCCAGGCGTGGTGGCGGGTGCCTGTAGTCCCAGCTACTCGGGAGGCTGAGGCAGGAGAATGGCATGAACCCGGGAGGCGGAGCTTGCAGTGAGCCGAGATCGTGCCACTGCACTCCAGCCTAGGCAACACAGCGAGACTCCATCTCAAAAAAAAAAAAAAAGAAATATTATGAAAACCACTGTAGAATAAATTAAGGAAGGCAGTGAATAGTGTATCTCTCCAGATTACTTTTAAAAGCAGGCAAGATTTAAATGATATATATCAAATATTTATTATCAAGTTTTATAACACAAACAAGATAAAACTGAGCCATTTATCATGATTCAATGCCATATATGTAGACCACTAAGTTACCTATAAAGCAAGAGATATGACCGAATCCTAATATTCCTTTGCAAAATGTGTGCAAGCATGTATGTGCCATTCGAATCATGGGAAAATTCAGAATTATGTGCAAAATCAGAAATAATTCCACTAATGTCGCTAGACATGGTTACACTTTCCCAGTGTACTAACTTAAACCAGTTAGTAACTAAAATTCTTCTATCTTTATTAACATAATTTACTTGTATTACTTTTACAACAGGGAAAAAGACAGGCTATAAAAAAAAAATCTCATGACAAGCTAAATTGGTTTTACCTTCTATATTAGCATACAACATGAAAAAAAATCACAGGAATTTCTCTTTTCAATCCACACATTTAATTTGGCGTCTCAGGTAGTCCTGCAGACACCAGTTACACTGAGAAGAAACACCACCACTAATTCGTACTGTTTTAGCATCAGAAGGTGTTTTTCTTCCTAGCTAACAACTCGTCTAGGGATAAAAAGTCAACAGCTGAAAAGAACTGCTCATGCTTCTACATACATAGGGCTCTTTCCTTAAAAGTAATGCATTCTTTGACAACAGCAGAGGGCTGGCAAAGGTGAGGACTTTCTACGAGAGATGTCCATCCATGCCCCATGGCCTCTCTCTGATGTACCTCAAGCAGAACAGCTCAGCATCCACCCCTAGACACATCTCTGCACAGGAAGGGTAAGCTGGCGAGCCCAGCTCATCCAAGTTCTGATGTCAGTATTACTCTACAGGATGCTTCCCTGAAACCAGTATTTGAACCTGCCCCTGGGTTTAGTGCTCTGGAAAGATACCCTGTTTTGTGTGCACTCCAAGGCAACACACTGTGGTAGAAGTCTGGTGGACAGTGACAGCCTCCCCGTTTTTTGGCAAGCAGAAGGGCAGCTGTGGGTGAGGGGGAGAACCTGCCGCAGATGAGCTTGGACACCCCTTCTCAGGGAGTCCGTTCCAGCAGGGACTGCACCTGGAAGACGAGCCTGGAAAGGATGCAGGGGTCCAGGCCAACGGCTGCGAGAGAACAGGGCAGCCAGGGGAGGAGGGGCCAAGCCCCAGTCGCTGAGCTGTCCCCCAGGCCTGGGTAGGGTGTTCTGTCCTAGAACCCCCGACAGTACACCCCGAAGCCTGGTATTATGTCGTGAACATTTAAGATGGCTGAAAGTTCATCATAAACTTCCTGGGTTAACTAAGCAAGTATGTTTATCTAGGGATGCTTAAAGACATGCCAGAGCAAACAAATGGGGTCCACACCACGTCCTCAGAATGTCCATGCAGCCCTGCGTCCTCACTAGTAAAGGGCGCCATGGCATCAAATGCAACATGACCAATTTAATTAATAAACAGTCACAAGAAAAATCAAATTCCTTTCTCACTATGGACAACCACAAACCCTTATAGAAAAAGGTAACAACACTGAACTAAATTTTGCTTCAATATTTTCAGTCGTTATCCAAAATGCTTTTTTGTGCTAGAGAACTTGTAGGAGTGGGGAGAAGAACAGTATAAACCCAATACCAAGCAACCTCCTGGGAAGCAAGGAAGGAGACTTTAGGGAAGAGTCCTATCTGGGTATGAAGGTAAACACAAAGCAGTCAAGGGCCCGGGCTTGGGAGCTGGACGATCCAGCCATGTGACTCAGCTTCCATGGATCTGCAGTGAATGGAGATTGCCACACTGCTTTCACCTTGCCATGCCATGACGAGAATTAGGTGAGGTCAACAGCACTGGGCCTGGCTCAAACAGCATGCCATCCCCACACCAGGAGCACCGCAGTGGCCGCCACAGGACAGAGTTCAGAGCCAGCCAAGTGCCCAGAAAAAGGATCTGCACAGACGAAGCTCAGGTCCTCCTTCTGATAACCACAGGGGGTCATGTAAGCTTCCTCTACTGAGATCCTCACTAGAACAGGAGGTAAGTGACTATTTTCCCAATTCTCCCAAGGGTGGGAGATCAGAGGGCACTGGGGCTTAAGTCACTCAGTCCCTGACAGGGTTAGTTCAGCATAGCTCTTAGAAAGAGATAATATGTTAATATACTTATCCACAAGGAAATATATTCATATTAAGAACAAAAAGCAGATAAAAATGTTTATCATTTTTCAAAAACAAGTCATTTGTGTAGGGAAATGTTTAATACTGGAACACTGCAAGTAGTTTTTCTTGGGTGGTGAAGCTACAGGCGAGAAAACGTAAGGAACCCACACTGATCTTTTCCAGAGTAAACCCGCATGACCAGCCCTGCTTGTGCTGAGCGCTCACCCTTTGCTTAGGGATGTGCTGCTCACACAACAGGTCCCTTGTTCCGCAGGGGCACTCTCTCCTCCAGGGCATCTGGCTGAGTCGCCGACTGCCTCCTCCTCTCTCACAGCCTTCATGGGTATTCTTGCCAAGCTACCTTCCCAGATGAACTTAAAGTGGACAGGTGTTTAAGTTACTCAGGATTTTAAAGGAAATGAATAAAGTATGTAAGTGAACAAGAATTGGGCATCTCCAGCTGGCAGACCCTACATAGGACCTTACCCATTCGGAGCACACTTGTCATGAGTGAGCCTGGCATATTTTATTACTTTTACTGTCATTACGAATGAGGTCAGTTTTTCACAATTACTCTTATTTGAAAAGCTATTCATTTTATATATACAAATGTGTACTGTGCAATTAGCTATCTATTGATCCTTCTTATTTCTAATTGTTTGAGTTGATTCCCCTGGGTTTTCTAAGCCTGACAATGACTTTGTCATTAAGTAATCATCATTCTCTCCTTTCTATTTGATTATCTATTTCTTTAAAAATAAAGACTTCCATAAAAGTGTCAAATAGATTGCCCAGCTGGTTTGGTTTACTATTCCTCCAGCTTTGTGGGGAATGCAGCCAGCATCTCTCCACTGAAAATGCCACTGACAGCTGGCTGCTCTCTAGTATTAGGGAAATCTTCTGGGTTCCTAGTTGATTCATATTTATGATGTTTTCAAATCAGCAGCAGGTGATGAATGTCATCAACTGCCCTGTTCCACCTCTGGGGACCCTGCACATCTCCTGTAGCATTTGCTGTGGCAAATCATGCTGACAGGCTGCCTCACCTTACATCACCCTCGCCCGCTGTCCATGTGCTGGCATTTCACTTGGGATTCCCATGCCTGCTTCACCTGCTGGAAGTGAGACACAGTGTTCCTGCATACCACGTGGCCAACAGGCTGAGTAACGGCTCTGAGGGCAGCTGGCCTTGGGTTCCATCCTGCCCCTACCCCTGCCCTCACCAGCTATGCAGCCCTGGCTAAACTCTCCCTGCCTCAGCTTCCTCATTCAGAAAAGTGGGGACACAAGGACCTACACCTCATAGGATTGTTGCAAGGACTAATGGGGTAACAGATGTAGACGTGCTGGGCTTAGAACTGTGCAGGGCATACAGTATGCCTTCATTAGTTATCACACCTTTGTCAAGTTTTAGAACCAGGGTATGTTAGCTTTATACATCGAATTTAATAGCTTTTACTTGAGGTCTGCCCAAGTTTCATCATCCACTCAACAAGTGTGTACTGCCCCTCCACTGCGCGGCAGGTGCTCGACCACAATGGTGGCCCTGCACATGGAGCTCTCAGCTGCTGGCTGGTGCACTCAATACAGCTGTGCATTTTGCAGCACACAGACAAACCCACAACGGATGAGCAACGAGGGATGAGAAAGTGCAGGGTACCCTGGGAGCCTCGAGAAGCCACTGACAGGACCCCAAAGTGTCTGTGACACAGGTACCACCCTTGAGGAGCTGATCACAGCGGGGACCCTGCCGAGAACACTCTGGGCATTCCACACAGGCATCCAGGGCAGGCATCAGGGCATGGCACAGCCATGCACTAAGAAGCAAGCACCAGAGACCAGCACGTCGTGGGGCTGCCACCCCTAGGGCCGGAGGGACTAGGGAAGGGGTGGTGTCACCAGAGTCCAGAATAGGGACAGCGCATAGCAGAACTACAGCAGGGGCCACCCAGAAAGAACTGGGGCCACAGCCATGGGG